CCCCCCCAAAACAACCACAATACCCTTAATCTCTATTTCCCTTAAACCTTCTAAGTTTGTGACCTCATTCATATATTTTTGGTATCAATAAAATTCAAAATGATTCATTTCTCAGCAGCAAGTTGTAACTCACCTCATCATTTGCTAACCATTTGTTACCCGGCAACAGCTCCATCCCAGAATAGCCCCTAAAAACAACCACAACACCCTTAATCTTTACTTCCCTTAAACATTCTATGTTTTTCACCTTATTCACAGATTCTTGGCATCATATAAAGTTAAAAATCATTCATTTCTCAGCAGCAAGTTGTAACTTACAGTGTGGTAAATATGCGTAAAACAATAGATTTTTTTTAAATGTATTTATCTTTTTTGTATTATTATTGTCAATTTATAATTCTTTATGTTGGGGTTGCTATTTGGGGACTTGATCATTGTTTTGTAAGGGCAAAACCCAATAAAAATATTTAAATATATAAAAAAACAGAATAGCATGGAAAAGAAAGCCATTGAAATAGAAAACAAGTGATATTTGAAATAATATCAATAATTCTCGAAACAAACGGAGGCTTTTTGGCCTTTTGTTCTTTCTCTGGAGGACGCTGAAGATGTTGAAGATGATTCATGATAACCGGGATTCGGCTGGAGACAAAACACAATCGGACTCAAACTTTGTGCGAGTCGACTCACAAACAGGAGGCTCTTCTGGGTTTTTTTTTATCATGCCTAACCAACACCCAGCAAAAAGTCCCACTCTCGCTCAAAGATATATACAAGAAATGACAAATATTAGGGTTCAGAAGATAAAAAAGGCGAGAAAAAAGACTTAGAGCTGTATGGATGAGCCCCTGATCTGGACAGGGATTTTTATTGGCCTCACATACTGAATTAAGTTCTCATGACTAATTGTTTCTCCTCCAGATTTGGGGTCTGGTGAGGATCTCCTGAAAAGCCCTTTTCCAGAGCTGATGCCTTTTCAATTAAGGGATCCGAGCCAGTTGAAAACACTGATCATAGTTTAGGTAAAACCACAGAAGTGATTAAAACATTTTAATAGGAATTTACTCACAATCTGGGTGAGACCTGTGTAAAAAAACACATTCATTTACCTGGACTCACTTCTTTAAAGGGGCTGTACAGTTCTCAGATACTTGTTTTTTTTGTCTTCTCTGTGTCTGATGTTTGTTTCAATTTGCTCTCCCTTTTCCCCAAATCTGGCATTATTTCACATTTGTTCATTTTGCTCCACAAATAACTTTCAAAAAGCAGTTTTGCATGATAACCCTTTAAAGCCCGATCCAAGAAAAATAGGAGGAATATTGGATTTTTTTAGTCTGAAGTCTTTCTTTGGCCCCTCAACAACATATGAAGAAAAAAAACAGAAATTATTTTGATCGAATTAGCGTGCAATAAGTAAAAAATATATGTTGGTGTAGTCTTCTACTGGCTGTTATCAGGTATATCTGAATGTGTACAACAGGGGTTTGAGCAAAGCTTTTACCACTGAATGATGCAAAAAGTCTCAGATCCAAAAGACTTCAGAAACCGTTTGTATCAAATGTGAGACATTTGGCATTATAGGGATAAATGGGGTAATTTCTTATGTCAGATTAGACTCCTGCTGCCATAAAGCTGAGCAGGACAAGGTTAAGAAATAAAACTTTACATTTGATGTAAATCTAAAGCTGCTTTTGTGAACTTGTTTCCCAGCAGTTTCAGTTTCAGGGACAAACTGCTGCTGTAAAGAGCTTTGTTGTGTCCACATTTAACCCTGGAGGGTTGAAATTCAGCATTTTGAAGTGATTCATTGAGTGCCCAGAGTTTGCTAATCGCTGTGTGCAATTGGTCTGTTATCAACAAAACAGCAGGGAGAAACTTGTTCAAATCAACTCCAAGCTTTTCCAATAGACTTCCACTTTTCTTTATTAAGCTTTGCTATCTCTGTTGGTCTTTATTTGTCTTATTTCTGCCCCTTTTGAGTGGCAGAAATAGTTTAAAGGTGAGTTATTGTGACCACCACTGAGCTAAAGTTTAAGAGGTGATCAACTGAAATAATTCATGGAAATTAAAATAATTATCCACAAAGCCTTCTGTTGTTAGTTTTGAATTGCTACGAGGATTAGGGGGCAGGCAAAGCCTAATTAAATTTCATTAGTAAGCTGATGGGAACTGTATTAAAATGCTAATGTCCAGCTGTTAATAGTTATTTAAAAACCAGCAATCCACTACAGCTAGTCAAACGGTTGGGAAAAAAAAACCCCGTGGAACACGTGGTTCATAGTTCCTTCCAATTTTGATTAATTTAGAAATAGTTCAGAGTAAAAATAATGGACCTGATGGGACTAATTCAGAGCACTGAACCGAACCGTAACATTTTATGAGTGAGTACGTTTATTCCAGGCTTTAAGCCAAAATTTTATTTAAATTTTAAATTTTATTTACTAGTGTTTGTTGTCATTATTGAACGATTAATCCATTTTATTTAGCATCATGTTTTAAGTTAATCCTCTTTTTATAACTTTGTTAATACAAAAAGAAAAAGAAAAAACTAAATAACACACACTTCATAACAATTTCTTTTATCCAAAAACTATTTTTTTCCTCTTCAGATTATTATATTTCTAATCAAATTAGCAGAAAATGATACATAAAAAACCCTAAATAAATTATTTGTTTTGATCAGATTATTATGACAAAAACAAATAGAAGAAATCACATGGACCAACAATCATTTGATAAAATGTACAGATCTCTTTAATTCATTTGTCCAGTCCTCCGTCTTACAGGAAAGAAATAATATAGAGAATAATCTCGTTATATTTTGTCAGCTTTACAACTTCTGCACATGATTGGTGTCTTCATGAAATGCACATCTAGGGCAGCAACAACAATTCATTATAGGAAAAAGAGCAAGGATACACAGCTCAAAGGGACTCGTACAGAAGCAGCATCATTGGGAGAAACTATGTACAGTACAAACCATTCTTAAAAATTATACTCTAAGATATATAGAATTCGATACATGAGATTCAATGTATTAAAGTAAACATTTGCAAGCCCCATCCCCACAAACTACCAGGTAATCAATCATTTGGGGAACATTCAGAACAGTCAATCAATCTGAGAACCTCCTCTAAAGGAAATGGGAACTGAGGATATACGGTTATCATCTTCAGACAGGGCCTAAAAAAACATATTATGAGTTTCAATCCATCTCTAAAAGCTCCGATTTGAAGCCGTACTCTCTGTGGAGGGTTTGTAAAAAACCCTGGAGGATTGTTGCTGTTGTTACTTTCATCTGAGGACTTTACAATGTGGTTTTATGCATTTTGTCGTCCAGTTTAAACAAAATGACTTAAAGTAATGGAACTACGAGTGGTAATAAATAAAACACAAAGCAAATTCAAATTCAACAATCACAAATACGAGTAAATAAACGACCGTCAGGTCCCGATAAACTAAGCAGGGTTCGGAAGGGAACAAAACTTTAGTCTGGACAAAACTATAACAGAAAACATTCATAGTCAATTTTAAACCATCTTACAGTTCTAGTCACCATGTTGTTCTTTTCTTTTTTTTTTCATAACAGTTCAAAGTAGCTGTGCTCTAAATTTGGGACGTAAATTCAGAAGGAATCATCCGAGATGGCAGACTTTTGAGGGACACAGTGGCAAGCTTAGAGGCTCTAAGCTAGTTTAGAGGCTCTAAACTAGCTTAGAGCCTCTACGATAGCTTAGAGTTTAGAGGCTCTAAAAAAGCTCTAAGCTTAGAAGCTCTAAGCTAGCTCTAAGCTTAGAGGCTCTAAGATAGCTCTAAGCTTAGAGGCTCTAAGCTAGCTCTAAGCCTTTAGAGTTTAGAGGCTCTAAGCTAGCTCTAAGCCTCTAGAGTTTACAGGCTTTAAGCTAGCTCTAAGCCTTTAGAGTTTAGAAGCTCTAAGCTAGCTCTAAGCCTTTAGAGTTTAGAAGCTCTAAGCTAGCTCTAAGCCTCTAGAGTTTACAGGCTGTAAACTAGCTCTAAGCCTCTAGAGCTTAGAGGCTCTAAACTAGCTCTAAGCCTCTAGAGTTTAGAGGCTCTAAGCTAGTTTATAGGCTTTAGCTAGCTCTAAGCTTAGAGGCTCTAAGATAGCTATAAGCTTAGAAGCTCTAAGATAGCTCTAAGCTTAGAGGCTCTAAGCTATCTTAAAGGCTCTAAGATAGCTCTAAGCTTAGAGGCTATAAGCTATCTTAGAGTTTAGAGGCTCTACGCTAGCTTAGAGTTTAGAGGCTCTTAGCTATTCTCTCAGCCGGAGGGGAAGTAGGGCGTGTCGCTGTGGTAGTTGTAGTCCGGACAGACCTTCTGCACCAGCTTGTAGTCGGTGCTGTAGAAGGAGATGAAGATGCAGATGACCTTGAAGGGTTTGGAGCAGAGCCAGGACACGTGGCTCTGCGTCTGCTCCTGGTAGCAGGTTTTGGACGGGTCGAAGTTGCAGAGCGTGTTCTTGGCGCCCCGCTCCACCTTCTCGTACTCGACTCGGCAGTTGAAAGACTTCGAATCCTTCGAGTCGACGACCGACTGCTGCGCCGCCGCGTCGAACTCCACGACCTTGGCGGGCGGCACCAGGCTAACGGACACGTTCCCCTGGCCCGTGGAGTTGTGGCGGAAGTAGACGCTGAAGGTGCCGTTGCCGTGGTCCACGATCTTGCCGGTGATGAGCAGGTTGAGCTTCACCGTCTTTATGTTGGAGTGGAAGTCCCCCCAGCCGAACATCTTCTTGAACTTCCCGGTTTTGACCATCGGGCGCCTTTTGGCGCGGCGCCGCGGGTCCTGGGGGTCCGTGGCGTTCCTGAGCCAGTCCCAGAGGTCCTGCTCCGAGTAGGGCTCGGGCGCGTCGTAGTGCAGGTCCAGGGCCGTGCTGTTGCCTTTGCCCAGAAGAGTCTCGGACAGCAGCCGGCTGATGGACATCTCCCTGCCGCTGGTTTCTGTCCATAGGTGCTTCAGCGTGGACTTCGGGCTTCCCGACTTGACGATGTCTGAACTGGAGGCCTGGGCAGTCGCAACCTGGGGAAGACAGTAAAAAACACATCCGTCAGGTACTGATTAAAGCAAATGTTTAACCCTTTAAAGCCTAATCCAAGAAAAATTGGAAGAATATTGGATTTTTTTAGTCTGAAGTCTTTCTTTGGCCCCTCAACAACATATGAAGAAAAAAAAAACAGAAAATATTTTGATCAAATTAGCGTGCAATAAGTGTAGTCCTCTATTGACTGTTATCAGCTATATCTGAATGTGTACAACAGGGGTTTGAGAAAAGCTCTTACCACTGAATGATGCAAAAAGTCTCAGATCCAAAAGATTTCAGAAACCTATCTATCAAATATGATACATTTGGCATTATAGGGTTAAAGGTGTTGAACCTTTAAAATGAGACTCAGTACAGAGAGAATAACACCAAATACATCAGATACCTTAAAAAATACACTCTTAAGTTAGTTTCCTTTCGATATTTTAGTATCTTATCACAGTCTTTCTGATTCGGTACTAATTTTTTGTGATTTTTTTCTTTAAATGATTGGTAAAAGCAATTTGGAAATTGATCATTTAACAAGCTTTTTGTGTGCTTATGTGCAATTGAATTGTTTCTTGTCTGTTAAATTTGGAGAGAGTGCAGATTAACTGGGAGGACTGTTAGTTCTACATACACCGACCGAGCAAGGAAGAGGTCAAACCTCACGACTGAGTCCAGCAGAAACTAAGAACAGTATCAGAGATCTCTGGTTTCAACTCTAGGAGCAGATAAGCTCAAAAACCCCCGAAACCCTCAAATATGAATCCAGCTAATTATCCTTCAGGCTGGGAGCTCCAGGGTCCAGTTCCTTGGACAGAGATCTCAGATGTTGTCCAGCTCATCGTCCTTGATCCGCCATCTTGGATCTGCTCCACTGTGATGGTCTTACTGGAGCCACCGTTGCCATGACAACCGTCTCTGCCCTGGAGGAGGGGGTTTGGGGGGGCTGATCTCATTTTGCTCCCCTGCCACTCAGAGAACACCTTGGAACCTTCACATTTCCCCTTTGGTTTTTTTTCCACCCCCTCTTTTAAACTTTGGTCCCTCTCAACTAATCTTGGGTGTCACACTTAATAAGATTTTCCATTTTCAAAGTAAGTGGAGCAATCGTTCCCAAGGCAAAGCCGGCTACCATCTTTCCCAACATATATGGGACTATATAGGACCTTCTTCTGCTCCTGCATGGATTTAGATCCAATGAATTAACTAAAAACAATCATTTACGACTCAAATATGCAGTTATAAGGATATTTTTTGGAACGGGTGACAGGACTAAAGAGTTTCTGACTGTTGTTCACAGTGACTGGGCCATTAAACCAGGATTCCCTGAGGAGAGTCTCTCATGATGGACGTTGTGTTTTTCTTTTTCTTCTTTGTTTTGCTTAAATCCTTGATTTAAGCTCTTTTGTCCAGTCATTGTTTGTGTGATCATCCTCCATCTGTTTCATGTCCATTAACTTTTTTTCCTTATTTTATTCCTTAAATTTCTTTTCTCAATCGTATTTCTTGTTTCCCTTTTTCTCGTTTTATTTCTAGTTCTAGTTTGAATCCAGTTTGTTTTGTTGAGTCAGGTTTTAGGACGTCAACCTTTTCCAGGCCTGTTGTTTTCTCATAAATAAATCTCAGTTTTCCCCAGTTCTTTCTGCTCCATGTCCACATTTTGGTCCTCCAAAAGGGTTCAATTACGTCCACTGGAAAGTTTGGACTCTTTTCTTAAAAGCATCTTAATATTTCTGCATTCTTTTTAGAGGTCTTCATATTTTTCTGGGTCACTAATCACAAATAGTTGAACTAAACCGAGAAAAAAATAAAAAACGAGACTTGATGTCATGAGATGAATACAAAACCAATATAGATCTTAAGGAAAAGAAAAATAAGAGCTGGAAAAAGAAGCAAAACAGCACAGCTTTGAGAAAAATGCTATTATTGTGGGAGCTTTAAACACCAGACCAGATATGACTGACGTGTTAGAAATAAGATACAACAATCAATCAAAAGTGATTCTGCCTCTTCTGTTATTTATGTGGCTATAATCCCACCACAGATTTATACAGTTTACATAGTAGGAGTTCACATCCTCAGGCTTTATCTAACATGCATTGGTGACTTTGACGAATATTCACTGGAAGCAGAAATAAAGAGAAATAAATAAGACAAGAAATATTTCTAAGCAGAAATAGATCAATATTACTATTTCTCTATTATTATATAATATTTATAAATATATTTATCATATCATATCATATCATATCATATCATATCATATCATATCATATCACATAACAGAACAGAATAGAACAGAATAGAGTAATATTATTATAATAGAATAATATTTATAAATATAAATATTCATCAATATTTCTAAGCAGAAATAGATCAATATTACTATTTCTCTATTATCATATAATATTTATAAATATATTTATAATATAATATAACATAACAGAATAGAATAGAGTGTTATTATATTATAATAATATTTATAAATATAAAGATGTATTTATATTTCTAAGCAGAAATGGCTGACATGTACAGGCTGGTACCATCCTTAACCTTTGACCAGTTAATTGCAGGAGATTAAACATATTTTAAGACAACAAACAACCATAATGTCAAGAGCATTTAAACCAAATCTGCTGCACAGAAAGGTGATAGTGCTTCAGTTGTCATTACTTCTGGGATTGAACCTTGAAGTGCTTTTGTTCACTCATGTGTGAGTGTAATCAATGTGCCAGAGAAGATTATATATAAGTTCATGCTAGAAAACAATTCAGAATTCACCTATAAGTAGGTTCATATAGTCTGTCTGTGGCCAAACGGAAGGAAATTTTACTCTGTTAGTGAAATATTTACTGAAAAGATCGATTTTAAGCTTTTTTTATTAGACAGAATATCAACACGACCAGCTAAGAGAGGTCAACCAGGACCAGGAAAACTGTTAGATCCTTAGTCTGGATGCTGATTTATGCTTTAGGGGGAAGTTTAGACCAAAGCAGGTTTGATAAAGACTTAGGAGGGAAACCGTGTTGTTGCCTTTTCGTGTCGCCTTTGACTCGAATGTCATGTCTGGACAGCAGTTTTTTACACTGGATGCCCTTTAATGGTGCAACTTTCACATTTATCCAAGAGCAGACAGGAGACAGAACACCACCGAGGTTACACTGCAGGCCACTGGGTTTAATGGCCTGGTGATAATCAACATATATACAATAGAATAAATAAATAAATACAATTAAAAAACATATATATATTATGCAACATCTAGGGAAAGCTGATATTAATTTATAATAAAGAATGGCAGGCACAGCAAATATAATAATAATAATAATTATTATTATTATAATAATGATAATGATGATGATGATGACGATGTTAAGAACACATTATAAATGTATTATTGTATTGTTAATATTATTATTATTGTC